ATATATGGATGTTAAATACAAAAGGAGATATGACAAGGTAAACAGGACTCCAGAAACAAAGGACCTCTACTCATTTTGTCGTATCATTACTAAATGACCCCATACTGTTGACCATATATATGGTATATATATGCACACATCTGAGGTTAACTAGGACACAGAATCAGAGGGAAATGGGAAAACATTCAACAGAGGGGCCCATCAGCTGCAGCACTGGATGTTGATGAAAATGAACTAAACAATTCAAAGGCAGCAATGGGAGGGAGGGAATAAGAGGGATAGAGGGAACAGCTTATACTAAGCAAAAGGAAGAAATGTACATACCACCAGATGTGGAAGAAATAGCTATATTGACAAAGCTCATAGAATTCACAAACTTTATAGACCACAATTATGACAATTTGCCTCATGAAGATTAGAATGTGTTTGTAATTTTAACTAAGTATCACTATCTCACAATACTGTGAAATTTGTGAAATTTATGTAATTACTTGATCACAATAAAAAATTATTAAAAAAAATACATTCCGAACATTCTTATTCTCACCTCCATCTCTAAAACCATGCCAGCTAGCATTGCTTGTCTCAAGAAGCAAGTACTTTCTTAGTTTGCTGCCTAGGAGTGAAAGTGATGATTCAACTTTAATATTTGTAGTTTCATATTATTTTGTATTTTAGACTAGTGCTTCCCAATATTTTATTATTTATTTATTTATTTATTTTTTGGTCGGTCATTGGGGCTTGAACTCTGGGCCTTGGCACTATCTCTCAGCTCTTTAACTCAAGGCATGTGCTGTACCACTTAAGCCACAGTGCCATTTCCGGTTTACTGGTGGTTAATTGGAGTCTCACTGACTTTCCTGCCCAGGATGTCTTTGAACTATGATCCTCAGATCTCAACCTCCTGAGTAGCTAGGATTACAGGCGAGAGCCACCAGCATCCAGCCCAATTTTTATTTTTTAGAGACAATTTTGGCAGTCAGGGACTATAGGCATGTACCAACAAAGTACAAAGCTTGTTTCCCAAATTTCAACTGGAAATATATCAACAAGGGATCTTGTTAAATTCTATCATCAAGGTGGATCTCATGTGATATTGATGCTGCTTAGCCTATGAGTAGCAAGGCTCCTTCTAGACAAAAGATAGCTCACTACTGCTCTAAAGTTAGTAAGACCAACATAAGACTCTCAACCTGGTATTACCAGTAAACTACACTTTGACCATATACTTGATTTGAATGATCTTTGAACATTCTCCATGGATTACTATGCTTTTTCAAACCTTTTTTTCTCGGGATGTCCCTGCCTTGAGTACATCTATCCTCCTTTCTGCATAGTTAGATTCTATCTATCCTCAAAGCCCAATTCAAACACCTACTTCCACAATACAGATTTTACTTTTTTTTTTTTTTTTGACGGTCGTGGGGCCTGAACTCTGTCTGCGCCTGGGTGCTGTCCTGAGCTCTTCAGCTCAAGGCAAGCACTCTACCACTTGAACCACAGTGCCACTTCCGGCTTTTTTTTTTTTTTTTTTTTGCCTATGTGGTGCTGAGGAATTGAACCCAGGACCTCATGTATGACAGGCGATCACTCTACCACTGAGCCACCTTCCCAGCCCCCACTATACAGATTTTATTTCCTTCAAATAGAAGTGATTTATCAACTTCTCAATTACCAAGGCACTCCATCTACACTGCTCTTCTACAGCATCATCATCATTTCCATCCATCCATCCATCCATCCATCCATCCATCCATCCATCCATCCATCTATCCATCCATCTATCCATCCATCCGTCCATCCATCTATCCATCCATCTATCCAACATGGGACCTTGCACCTTGTAGGCAAGCACTATATCTCTGAACTATACCCCCAGCCTTATTTCTCACCTATCAACTACATTTTATCACATGGCTTATATCTTTTCTACTAAACCATAGCTTTATGGGGTGAGAGAGAGGAGAGACAGACTGGTCTGGAACTTACTTTGTAGCCCAAGCTGGCCAGGCTACAAACCTTGTTCCTTGGCCTCCTCAGTGCCCCATCATGCCCAGCTTAACCCAGTTCTGGCTGCTGTTGCTTCTCCTCCTCTTAAATATTGAACATTCCATGAATTTTTGTGTCATCTTTGCACAGGAACCATGCTTATCTACTCTGTATCAAAGTGAACAATCAATCATAACTTTTTAACAGCAAGATCTCATTTTTCATTCTCTTGCCTAGAATATGACATATTAGCACTTAGTGGGTAAATTAAAAACAAGTGTGGTCATTCAAAGACTTTCAAACACCAAATGTGTGAGGGGCACTGGTAGTGATGATAATGATGACAATAACATCTAACTCTTAACAATATTTACCATACAGTTACTGTCCTAACCTTTCACATTAAATCTTTTAATTCTCATAATAATCAAATTAAGTAGTACTTTTTTTTTTTTGCCAGTCGTGGGCCAAGGTGCGTTCCATGAGCCTCTCAAGGCTAGTGCTCTACCACTTGAATCACAGCACCATTTCTGGCATTTTTGAGTAGTTTATTTGGAGATAAGAGTCTCACAGGGACTTTTCTGCCTGGGCTGGCTTGGAACTGAGATCCTCAAATCACAGCCTCCTGAGTAGCTAGGATTACAGGTGTGAACCACCGATGTCTGTCCTGAAGTAGTACTTTTATTATCTCAAGTACACTAATAAAGAAACTGAAGCCCCACGTCATATAGCTAATAAGGGCAGAGGCCTTACTCAGAAACAGTGGGTTACTCAGACCTGTACTCTTCAATCATGTGACCTTATGTTTCCATATTGTTATTAAGGATATAAAGATGAGTAAGACACAATTTTTTTCCTTACTAAGCTGTTGGTTATTCAAAAAACTTTTGTAGCAGATCATACAGTACTTGATTAAAGTCCACATTCCTAAGGCATTATTCAAAGTTCTGAATGAGCTGATCCAAGCCTCTCTTATCTCCAATTACATTCACCTTCATCCTCTATATTGGAGTTATATAACCTGCCACTCCTAAATCTGTCCTATCCATATTGCTGCTAGGAAACTTCTCTTATTTCTGAAATCCATTTTTCTTTTTTCTTTTTTCTGGTTGGTCATGGGGCTTGAACTCTGGGCCTGGGTGCTGTCCCTGACCTCTTCAGCTCAAGGCTAGTGCTCTACCACTTAAGCCACAGCACCACTTCTGGCTTTTTCTGCTTATGTGGTACTAAGGAATTGAACCCAGGGCCTCATGCATGCAAGGCAAGCACTCTACCAACTGAGCCACCTTCCAAGCCCTGAAATCCATTTTTCTAAGCTCTACCAATTCCTAAAAATACTCAGTTCCAAGTAACAGGATAAAAGTAAGCATTTCATATAAGATTTGATGAGGGCTGGGAATGTGGCTTAGTGGTAGAATGCTTGCCTAGCATGCATGAAGCCCTAGGTTCAATTCCTCAGTACCATATAAACAGAAAAAGTTGGAAGTGGCACTGTGGCTCAAGTGGTAGGTAGAGCACTAGCCTTGAGCACAGAGAGGCTCAAGGACCATGCCCAGGCCTTGAGTTCAAGCTCCAGGACTGGGGGGACGGGGGACAGGGGGAGGGAACAAAAACAAAAAAGGCTGGGCGCCAGTGGCTCATGCCTGTAATACTAGCTACACTGGAGGCTGAGATCTGAAGATAGTGGTTTAAAGCTAACTGGGCAGGAAAGTCCACGAGACTCTTATCTCCAAGAAACCACAGAAAAATGGAAGTGGCGTTATGGCTCAAGTGATACAAGCACGTGCCTTGAGCTAAAGAGCTCAGGGACAGTGCCCAGGCCCAGAGTTCAAGCCCCATGACCAACCAAAAACAAAAACAAAAACTTGAATGCCAGGAACAGCTACAAATTCAATCATTAATACCAATGATAGCCCTGCAAGACTGACTACAATAATCTCTACTTAAGAGATGTGCAAGTCTGGGAGTTTGGCCTAGTGGTAGAGTGTATAAAGCCCTGGGTTCAATTCCTCGGTACCACAAAAACAGAAAAAGTGAGGAGTAGTGCTATGGCTTAAGTGGTAGAATACTTACATTGAGCAAAAAAGCTCAGTACAGTGCCCAGACCCTAAGTTCAAGCCCCAGGACTGGCACAAAAAAAAAATTTGACTCTGATCATTTCAATCAATATTAATTTTTCTCTTCTCTATACATTCAGTCTATTTTGAAATCTTAACTGTAGTACTTATCTCTCAGGGCCTGCCTTTTACCTCAAATTTTATCTAGCTCTTTCACTTAGTTAGAAGACTCTCCAGGGTGGGGATCTTTATGTGGGAAAGGATGTCTACTGTATCACCAAATCACTTATTTCCCAGTGTTGGTTACAGTTGGTTATGACCATAGCACTAAATTCTGACTAGCTGTATATAGGCAGTGATTATGTCATTTCTAAGCCTGACCCGATAAAACCTCAACATTAGTCCCTACATTTGCCCACTTTATCTGTGAACTGATTTAGAAGATTGAGCAGAAAAATTTGAGGCCTTCTGCTCATCAAAGAGTGCACCTTCCCCTTTCCCCAACCTGCATTAAATGGGGACATAACTAAGAAGCAAGCCTATGAAGTCAATGAGATTTTATGTTATTTACTTCAGTAGTTAGCTCACCTGAACTAAAATACCATACAGTTATGTTTCTTTATGCATGTAAAATATTGTCTTGTTGTAAGGCGCCAGTGACTCACGCCTGTAATCCTAGCTACTCAGGAGGCTGAGATCTGAGGATTGCTGTTCTAAGCCAGCCCAGGCAGGAAAGTCCATGAGACTTATCTCCAATAAACCACCAGAAAACCGGAAGTGGCGCTGTGGCTCAAGTGGTAAAGTGCTCCCCTTGAGCTAAAGAGCTGAGGGACAGCACCCAGGCCGAGGGTTCAAGACCCACGACCAACAAAAATAAATTAATTAAAAAAAATATTATCTTGCTTATAGTGCTCAGTAAATATTTACTGAAGTTTAATTTAAAATTCTTATTCTGTGCTTGGTTCAGCAGCACATATACTAAAATTGGAATATACAGAGAAGATTAGCAAGGCCCCTTTGTACAGGATGACACATATACTCATGAATCATTTCATATATATATATATTTTTTTGTCAGTCCTGGAGCTTAAACTCAGGGCCTGAGCACTGTCCTTGAGCCTCTTTGTGCTCAAGGCTAGCACTCTACCACTTGAGCCACATTACCACTTCTGGCTTTTTCTGTTTATATGGTAATGAAGAATCAAACACAGGGCTTCATGCATGCTAGGCAAGCACTCTACTACTAAGCCACATTCCCAGCCCTCATTCCATATTTTTAAATGGTTGAAGCTAGAACAAATCATGTTACATAAAGTAAGCTAGGCTCACAGAGACAAATAGTGAATGTTTTATATGTTCAAGCTAGATCTCAAAGTACAACTATTCATGATAACATATACAGGGCTCAATGCATTTATACACAAACAAATTGATTAAAGAAAGGCATACTTAGGGGAAGAATCCAAAGGCATAACTCCTCTGAACTACTAAAATACTGTTTATCAAAATGAATACTAGGAAATAGAAACATGTTTCTTTGGGGGGGGAAGTGGGGGAACACAGGAATAGAGGGAGGAAAGGTGAACAAATATAGTCATTATATTCAATGTACACTATGTAAAAAATGGACCATGTAATTGGAAGGTAGGGACAAGAGGGAGAAAATGGCAGAGAATAAAGGAAGCAGTAACATTGTCAAGAAGCACTGTACTAGGGCTGAAAAGGTGGCTCAGTGGTAGAGTGCTTCCCTCACATGCATGAGGCCATGGGTTTGATTCCTCAGCACCACATAAACAGAAAAGGCCAGAAGTGGTGCTGTGGCTCAAAGTTGTACAGCACAAGCTTTGAGCTGTAGAGCTCAGAGACAGCACCAGGCCCAGAGTTCAAGCCCCATGACCAACAACAACAACAAAAAAGAAGCACTGTACTCACAACCTAACTTATAGAATTATAATCCTTATATAATATTAATAATATTCAATTTAAAAAATCTTATTTCGACAGGCGCTGATGGTTCATGCCTGTAATCCTGGCTACTCAGGAGGATAAGATCTGAGAATCATGGTTCAAAGCCAGCCCCGGCAGGAAAGTCCATGAGACTCTGATCTGCAATTAACCATCAGAAAACTAGAAGTGGGGCTGTGGCTCAAGTGGTAGAGCACTTGCCTTGATCTGAAGAGCTGAGAGACAGTACTCAGGCCCAAAGTAAAGACCCACAACTAAGAAAAAAAATTTTTTTAAATTCTTATTCCATGTGGCTTAGTGGTAGAGTGCTTGCCTAGCATGCATAAAGCTCTAGGTTAGGTTCCTCAATATCATACAAATAGAAAAAGCCAGAAGTGGTGCTGTGGCTCAAGTGGTAGAGTGCTAGCCTTGAGCAAGAATGTCAAGGACAGTGCTTAGTTCAAGACCCAGGAGGCACAAAAAAAAAAAAAAAGATTTTTCTTTTTTTTTTCTTTTTGGTTGGTCATAGTGCCTGAACTCTGGGCCGAGGCACTGTCCCTCAGCTCTTTAGCTCAAAGCTAGCACCCTACCACTTGAGCCACAGTGCCACTTCTGGTTTTTTCTGTGTATGTGGCGCTGTGGAATCGAACCCAGAGCTTCATGCATGCAAGGCAAGCACTCTACCACTAAGCCACCTTCCCAGCCCTAGAACTTTAATATAAAAAGAGAAACTTAGCTTTACTAATATTTAATTATGAGATAATAGCACACACATGAGGATATGCTCAAAAATATTCCCTACCCATGACCAACCAAAAAAAAAAAAAAGTTCCCTAAAGGGAAATTATGGTCATAATGACTGCTGGTTCCCAAGAGATACCTTATCCTAATCCCTAGAACCTGAAAATGTTGTTAGAAGGCAAGGGATGGCCTGGAGATATAGTTTAGGGTAGATCACTTGCTTAACATGTGTGGGACCTTGAGTTTGATCCACAAAAAAGAATAAAATCCAGGGGCCAGTGGTTCATGTCTATTATCTTAGCTACCTGGGAGGTTGAGACCTGGTGCACTGAGGTTTGAAGCCAGATTAGGTAGAAAAATCTCTAAGACTCCATCTCCCACAAAACAGAAAAATGCTAGACTGACAGTATGGATCAAGTAGTAGAGCACCTGACATGAGCAAACAAGTTATATAAGAGCCTGATACCCTGGAGGTCAAGCTCAGGTACTAGCACCAAAAAACCTAAATAAGGGGCTGGGAAGGTGGCTCAGTGGTAAGCGCTTGCCTTGTATGCATGAGGCCCTGGGTTCGATTCCTCAGCACTTCATAAGCAGAAGAAAAAAAAGGCTGGAAGTGGCACTGTGGCTCAAGTGGTAGAGCACTAGCCTTGAGGTGAAGAGCTGAGGGACAGCGCCGAGGCCCAGAGTTCAGGCCCCACGACCGGACCCTCTCCCCCCCTCCAAAACAAAAAAAAACTAAATAAATAACTGCAAAGAAAACAATGAAAGTTAAACTGGTAAGTGTGGTAGCACAAATTTATGCCAACTCTTGGGAGTCAGAATCTAGAGGATTTTGAGTTTGAAGCTAACCTGGGATACATAGCAAGCCGCTCCCCAACATATCTGCCAAAAAAAAAAAAAAAAGAAAGGCAAGAGTGGGCAGAAAGAAAAGAAAAAAGGAAGGAAGGAAAGAAGGAAGTTGTTGGTCAGCTGACTTAAAATAGGAATATTATCTTGGTTTATGAAGGTGGAGTATTGTGATTACCCAAGTCCTCGTAGGAAGAAGACAGACAGTATCTGAGTGATGCAATATGGGAAAGATTCAACCTGTCATTGCTAGTTTTGAAGATAACAAGGAATGGGAGCAAAAATTAGCAGCTGAAAAAAGTAAGTCCTTACCTTTAAAAAGGACTGTAGCTCTGTGGACACAATGATTTTACCCCGAACAAACCCCATTTCAGACTTCTGGAGCCAAGAGAAAACTAATAATGGGTACATAAAAATTTTTTCCTGGGTCACTATCCTGTGTTATAATGTTCACAGATGTAAGATAGGCTTTAGGCTTATACTCTGTATAAACAGGCACAAGGAAAGTAACATTAACATGTTCCTTTGTGGCATCCACATTCAGCTAGTCAAATATTTATTGAACTAACAATTCTATATAAAGCTCAGAGGCAAATATTTAAATTGAAATGTTGACCATCCCCAAAAGTTTATTATCTAAACAAAGATAAAAGGAAAGGTGAAACAGCAATCTAAAATATATCTAGTTATCTTCATTCTCATTTGAAAAAAAAAACTTAACCAACAACCAAATATATAGACAACACTACCACTGTTAGACACGGATCTCCTCAAGACTAAAGAACAACACTTAATAAGAAGAGTTCTGTGACCGTTATATCAAAGGTGTTAATAAAATGATCATTACTGCTTGCCTAACAAGGATCTGAAAACTGTGCTACATGCTTTATATGTACTACCTGTTGACAAAGGTTGGAAAAGCTATGAGAATTTGAATGCTTAGCTCCAAAGACTATGTTCAATCCTTTGATAAGTAAGGAAGAGGGCTTGGAAGGTGGCTCAATGGCAGAGTGCTTGCTTTGCATGCATAAGGCCCTGGGTTTGATTCCTCAGCACCACGTAAGTAGGAAAAGCCACAAATGGCACTGTGGCTCAAGTGGTAGAGCACTAGTCTTGAGCTGTAAGAGCTGAGGGACAGTACCCAGGCCCAGGCCCAGAGTTCAGGCCCCATGACTGACCCAAAAAAAAAAAAAAAAAAAGTAGAAGAAAACAGGCCAGTTAGTTTTTCAATAATAAGTAATCATTTGATTCATTAAAAAAAAAAAATGGAGCTAGATGCTAGTGGCTCATACCTGTATAATCCTAGCTGAGATCTGAGAATTGTGGCTTGGAGCCAGCCAGGACAGACAACAAATCTGCAAATCTCTTATCTCCAATTAATTAGAATTTAAAGAAAAAGTAATAGAGGTGTGGCTCCAGAAAGAAAAAAGCTAGGAGCAGTGGCACATGCATGTGATCCTATGTAGAAGGCAGAGGTAACAAGAATACAGTCTAAGGCTGGCCCTGGGCAAAAATGTGAGACCCTAAAACTAAAGTAAAGAGTTAGGGGCTGGGAAGGTGGCTCAGTGGTAGAGTGCTTGCCTTGCATGCATGAGGTCCTGGGTTCAATTCCTCAGCACCACATAAGCAGAAAAAACCGGAAGTGGTGCCGTGGCTTAAGTGGCAGAGGGCTAGCCTTGAGCTGAAGAGCTGAGGGAGAGCGCCCAGGGCCAGAGTTCAGGCCCCACAACTGCCAAAAAAAAAAAAAAAAAAGAGCTGGAAGTGTGACTCAAGTGGTAGAGCACATGTTTAGGATGCATGAGGCCCTGAGTTCAGTACATCACACACACACACTCAAGAATGCCTAACTGGGGGCTGGGAAGGTGGCTCAGTGGTGGAGTGCTTGCCTAGCATGCATGAAGCCCTGGGTTCAATTTGTTAGTACCACATACACAGAAAAAGCCAGAATTGGTGCTGTGGCGCAAGTGGTAGAGTGCTAACATTGAGCAAAATAAATTCAGAGACGTTGCCCAGGCCCTGAATTCAAGCCCCAGGACTTGGGGGGCGGGAGAGAGGAAAAAAAAAGAAAGAATATCATGGATTTTTCTGCCCATGCTAACTTTGAAAGGCCATCCTCAGATCTTAGCCTCTTGAGTAGTTAGGATTATAGGCATGAGCCACTAGTGCCAGCTTAAGAGAACATTTCTTGTTCTCTCCCAGTTTTTCCTTCCCATTCCCATGCTTAAGTAGTATAGTTCGTTTTCAATATAGTATCCAGTGAGTGCCATTGCTGCATTTATTCACTCTTTTGAGCATACTTCTTTTTCTGGGCCTTGAACTCAGGGCTTGGGCTCTGTCCTTGAGCCTCTGTGCTCAAGGCTAATGCTCTACCACTTGAGCCACAGCACCACTTCTGGCTTTTTCTGCTTATGTTGATACTCAGGAATCAAACCCAGTACTTCATGAATGCTAGGCAGGCACTCTACCACTAAGCCACATTCCCAGCCTTGAGCATACTTCTTAAACAATATTCCCACAATGATTTATTTCT